GATGCTGCTTGGCCTGCTGTGTTCATCCAGGTCTACACCTTGTTATCTGATTATATTTCCTAGTCAGGTCCTTCTAAGGGTTAGTGGCCATGAGTTTGCAAGATGCTGTTGAAGTAGCCCTGGTGAATTTCTGCAGCGCATCTTGCAGATATCTCTGCTGATACTGTGCATTGAGGCAGATGGATGGAATATTTGTGGATTTAGTTCTATCCAGTAGGCTGCTTTGTCCTGGATGGTTTCAAACTTCCCTGGAATGGATTTATGCTGTCTGTGTCTCCTTTACCATTGCTTGCATAATCCTTTTTTCCCCATAGTTTAGAAACCTCCCTTCAGTCCTTTGTAAACCTAAGTATTGAGTTCAGATCCATTAGAGTATGACTGAAGGGGAATAGGTGTTCTAGGACAAGAATCTGAAACTGAGGGATTAACAGACTGTTGGTAATTTTCAGAGACATTTTTCACTGAAAAATGTCTTTGGGTTCATGAGAAAACACACATCTTTGAGGACATGAGTAGGGATTTACTGAGATTCTGTTGGACATATTTTGGGGTGGGGGCAGAAGGAGGAGTAAGAATGATGGTATGAGAGTGGAAAATGGGACAGGGCAATGAAAGGGGAAGGAAAGGGAAGGACACAGGAAGATGGGGGAAATGGAAAGGGGGATGGGTAACAGGAAAGAGGTAAAGGAAAAGAAGTGAGGAGGAGATGTGAGGGATGAAAGGTATATGGGGGGGAATGGAAAAAGATGGGAAAGAGGTGTAAGAATTGTAGGGGGTAGGGTATAAGGTAAGTTTGGAGGGAGTAGAGGAGGGTTGAATAGCGAGGAGCTAAGGCAGCAGTGAAAAGTTAAGAAAGCAGTGAGGAGTTGAAGGGGGCAGAAAGATTGTGAGATAAATGGACAGATGGTAGATGTTGGGGGAGGGAAAGGTGTGTCTGAAAATAGGGAGGGTTGGGGGGGGAAGGGGGTGTAGGGAATGCTGTGGCTAAAGGGAGGAGAGGGAGTTTGGAGCAGTTGGAGGAAATGTGAAGGGAGGTGACAGGAAGTGGGAAAGAATGTGGGCAGATGTGAGCAGTTAGTGGTCTGGGGAAGTGTGGCAGCTTGAAGGGGTAGGGTGTTAGTAGTAGTGAATAGGATTATGGGAGGGTAGGCTTTGCTACCGGATAGAAGGAAAGGATTATACGTAGAAGGGATTAGGTTGTTTTGTTATGGGAGATATGGGTGAAGGTTGGACGTGGCTAGGTGGTTGGGAGTACTGGGATCGGGTGGTTGGGTAGGTAGAATGAAGTGAAAATTGGGAAGCTGTTGGATGAGATTTGAGGGAAAGGAGGGAGAACTGGATGTGAGTGTTGTATTTGGTCTGCTTCTCACCTAATATGCATTAAATCTCTTTTTGATTCACATTCTCTGCCTCTTCCATTATCCGAGGAGCCCTTGCTTTGGCTCCCTAGGTTCTGTGTCATGTTGGAATGTAGCCTGTACATTTCCCCTTAAAGATATCTATTGCTTTGTTACAGACTTTTCCCCATCATACTTTCGTTCCATTTTGCTCAGGCTAGATCCACTCTGATCACACTGCAGTTCAACTTCTTCCATTTGGGAAGTTCTACTTTAGATTGTTTGTTTGTTTGTTTGTTTGTTGTTTTCTCCATTACTGAGTCAAACTGAATGACACAAGTCAGCCGATGCACTTAGTCCACCTTATTTCCCCAGCACCAGATTCAGCAATGCCTCCTTCCTACTTGGACTGAGAGCATCCTGATCAAGGAAATTCTCCCAAACACCTTTCAGATATTCCTCTCTGCCACCCCATCTCTTTATTTGACTATTATCCCAATTGGCATTTAGATAAATAAAATCCCAAAAATAGCTCTTGCACATCTTTCTGGTTTCCCTGCAGATTTTCTTCTATAATGTCTATAGAATAGCCTTCCAGTAAGTGTGATCATACTCTCTTTGCAACTTAATTTTAAAGAAGTGGATTTTGTTCTTGTCCCCATGAAGATTTCCCTTCTTTCTAATAAGTAACTGCTTCCCTTATCAATGCTACCACCCCATCTCCCTCTATTCTTTTCCCCATCCTCTCAGAATATTCTGGGTGGAAACTTTTATATGGGTGTGAGCAACATGGGCTTTGGTGTGATTTGTGGCAGAATCAGATGAGAAGTCTGTTGAAGTTCATCTCAATGTCAGGAGCATCTCACTCCATCAATTTTCTCTACCCCTACCCCCATCATGAGCATAAATACCAACCTTTCCCAGCTGCTTTCAGTTCTGATGAAGAGTCCCTGGACTTGAAATCTAAACTCTTGTTTTTCTCTCTCCACAGATGCTGGAAGAAGTGCTAAGTTTCTCCAGCACTTTGTTTTTTTCAGTTTGTAGCATGCAATCACGCAGTAACTATACCTAACCCCTAACTAAATGAAAATGAGCTTGAAATAAAAACCTAATGCTGGAACAAAAAATCTCATTAGGTTAAGCAATTTTATAGGGAGGAGAGTTGCCAGTTCAGCTGTGTGATCGTACAGGAGTCTGGTATCAATGGTATTCACAAATTAAATGCCTTAAACAGCATTTTGTTGACTAAAACAGAAAAAATTGACATGGAGGGCAGCTGCCAATGTATCTAGGAGCTTGAATCATCAAGAACGAAAGTTTTCAGAAGACAAAACAGGAAAAAATGAAAATGTTGTGAATAAGGAACTTTAAGCACTACAACATTCATTCAGAGTGCTTTAAGAATAGTAAGGCCTGGCAATAAATAATACTGCTAAGGCAGAACATGTAGCAAGAATTAATTGTTTTTAATAGGTTTGCAGTTAATGCAAGGAACATCCATCAAATCTAGTGACTATCATTTGGGGTAAAATAGCATAATTAAGATTTTTCTGAAATTGTAAAAAGTTTTTAAGACTCAAATTTGAGTATGGATCACTATTACAGCAGCAGGAAGATTAAATTTTATACTGAAATCCTAAAAGATCAAATATAGAAGCATTAGCATCAGGAAGTGTTCCTGAAATTTTACACTTTGCCTCAAACTTGTTTTTAGACATTAGCACTAATAATAAATTTATCAGAACAATGATGTTGTGAATGTGAAAAGCCATCACTTTGTATTGTATCAAAAATGTGAATGCAAGTTCATTAACCTCTTGGCTTAATTACAGGATAAGTGGTTTTTTAAAAAAAAAGCAGAATAAACAATTTATTGATGCTACTGCACGGCGAAGACTGTTATGATGTTAGGAAAAGGCACATAGTGGTCAAGGAAATCTTGCATTAACAGTGATTAAAAGTTGATAATCCTCTTGTTGTTTTAACTGTATGGCAGGTTGCAATCTCATTAATTGCCAGCTCCTGCAAAAATGCATTGGCAGCTTTGAAGATTACATATTTATTTCTAGTCAAAAAATAAGAAATTTTAAAAGCATTATAAAATACACATGCAGAAAAGTTTTTTAGTATCTTTATTCCATTTTTGCTAAAGGGTATGCAATCATATACAGGGAATATTAAAGCAATAGTACCAGCTTTGATGCACAATGTGAAACACTATAAACATTTTTAATAAGTTTTGTTAGGTATCATTAGAAACCTATCATAAATAGTTAAATACACAATACAGGAGCATGCATGTAATATTCTTCTGGATACAATGTAGCTTGAATACTACCAGAGCTCTTTCCAGTAAATTCATACAGTCAGCTAACAGTCTTTCAATTTACTGTTCAATTAATGTATGATTTACACTTTAATCTTTCCAGACTCTCAAAGTTTTGATTGACATCAAAAAGGCCACAAGCAAGCTAAGCTGCAATGTCACATATATGCATGCATTCCTTTGAAAATATTAAAGTTAGTTACTCAAACAAGTACCCATACCCATCACTGGGTGTAACAGTCACACTGAATTCAACTCCATGTATTACTACTGAGGCATGTTTATTAAACAGCTTAAAACATTTTAAAATTAAAAACACTGAAAGGGTAACAATTATTAGGCATTTGTTCAAAAAGTGAAAACTATATTAAGTGATTCAACTTCTTAAGAAAAGCAAATTAAATTGCTTACTTTTATAAACAAAATAGTAAACTATGTTTGTCTAAACAAGTTAGTAGTTGTTTACATTTGCAAACTATTTTCTTGACATCTGTCAAGACTTTTACACTAATTTCACTATCGCATTTAGAAAAGGGAAAGTGAGAATTCAATATCTCTCATTTCACATTACATTTATATTGTTTTCTGTGTAACAAACTCAGGGATGACACCTTGTGCAGTGGAATACTTCCACTTGTAGCACGTGAGCTTCATGATCAACTATTATTCACAGGACAGAGCACCTTCAATGGGATCAAATGAAGATTTCTACTTCCCCACAATGAATATTGTCAGTTTGTGATGCAGAAGGTTTTGCTCAATTATACAGATTTTTGCTGCAGAACTGTAAACACTATGAGCGGATATGACACTATAGAAGCTAATTTCAAGATGCACCTTTACGGTTGGTTTCAAAAAAAAACCTTATTATTTGTTTGGGATGAATTCAAAGACCAGGAGACTGGGCTGTCTGGATTTGCACTGCATCGCCCGTTTCTTGATTTTTTTTTAAAATCATATTTAATTTTTCAGCTCATTAGCTGGAATTGCCATGTATCTCTACATATCATCCCATTAGTAGATTAAAGGATTTAAGTTGATAGACCAACAAAATGATTTCATAATAAAGTTTATGTTTCACAATGTGCTACCAATATTCAGATAACTAATTGCTAAAGCTACAGTTAACTTTTTAAACAAAAATTTGTTACTGGGATATATGACCTTCCATTGGGTGAAACTATTTTCATTTCCCATTTTCAGTTGTTTACACAGAAGAAAATTAATTGTCATTCATGGACTCCTGGATCTAAACTAATAAAGCTAGTCATCACTTCACCCTAATAAGAACACAATATACTGTACAATTAATAAAATCCATTACTTTCTGACAGCTAAGTTACCACAAGTTCTGGAGTATCTGATTTTCACAAGATATCCTTTAGAAAAGCTCAAAGTGCAAAATCCAACAGACTAAACTTCCAGAATCGACTCAAAGCTTTATGTAATCTATATACAACAGTCTGATTAATATATCTGGCAAGTGTAAACATTGTCCTTTCCTCCACACAAATGCATCACTAATGACATTTGGTTATATTTGATTAGAAAAAACTTGTCAGTTGTTAAAGGGAATAAAAAAATTGCTAAATAGCAATCGAACTTGAAATTACAATTGCAGTTGTGCACATATACTATTTACAGTTAACAAGATATTAGTAAGGCTTTTATTTGGAAGGTAGTACAATCAGCTGATAATAAATTCTAAACTATGTAAAACTTGCATCCACAAGGCTTTAAGATAGATGCATATTTTGGTAATGCTCTGCTTAGTCACCTACAATTCATATTAATGAAGACTTTCAGACAAATCTACAATAATTGGCAATAAATAATAATACACTAAAACAAAAACCATTTCGGGCTCACTTTATACTATTATACAATATTATATATTTTCTGAAGCATTTTTAAGCTGGAGATTCCTCCAGTCACAGGAATTAAAGATTAGTTTGAATCTCAACTTCCACTGAAATTAAATATTGGTGGCATTCACCAGTCAAATTGGCCACCATGTTGCTTTGAATGTGGTTAAATCTCCGATAACACCATTCCACCACTGCAAAAAATATACTTTTTTTTATCATTTATGGGTGTGTGTAAGCAGTGACATTACTCATTCAAGGATATTTCTGTTCCTAGCTGAAGCAGGAAGTGGTAACAACAGGAAAAGGTCAATAACCTAACTATAGCCACAAATCATTCTTCTCAAACAATAAAATGAGCATTCTTCTGCTCTTAATGCTATTGGCTTTACAAGTTTGTTGTACCTGATGTGTTTAATGTCCAGTGTACATAAATTAACAAAACAGTTGGTATGTGGGTATCTCAAATATCGACACAAAATCTGCAATTCGGAGATTGATACACGGATTGCTACATGGTAAGTGAATGGTAACAGAAAACCAGTCCAAATGTGGTTTCTGTAGTAAAAACATACTCAGACAACAGCTATCAGTTAGAAGGTAGCATTTCAAATCCTTTAGCTTCTTTGCTGAATGACATACCTGTTTGTATTCCAATACTAGCAGAGTCACAAAAGATGCATTAGCTACATTTATACTGTAACCACAAAAGAAATTTGTACAAAATGTTTATCTGAATGCAATTGTTAACCCTAATGGGATTAAGAATCTGCAGTAAATTAAAGGTAAGATAATATTCATGGCTTGATTACATGATCTAAGAAATGCTGCACTTTCTTTCACTTTCAGATGACCTCCCATTCATCATCAAAGTCCTCAGATTGACCCAAAAGAGCAATACGGTTAGGATTAATTAGTGCATCAGTGTGATTAAAATTCTTGGTAAGTCGTTGAAGAAGCGAGCCTCCAGTGCTAATAGCCCACAGTTCATCTTGAGGTGTAACTATGAGAAATTAGGATAGCAAACACAGTTAAAAAGCCTGCAAACAAGCATCAAAGTAACTCAAATAACGTGAAACAATAATAAACATTGCAATTTACTTGATATTAAGGTAAGAAGTCTTTGAACTAGTAATTCCAAAGGATCTTATATCGCCTAATCCTTCAGAAGAGATTTTCTTGCTTATATAACATCTCCTCTAAAAGGGACAAAATGATATTTTATCCTCACAAATGCACTTGTTTCTTGTGGTAAAAGTCATCTGTAGTGCAATTTAAAAAAAATCAGTATGTTCTAGTTTGAATAATATTTTTATAATAGTTTATACAATTGTCAATTAATTAATTCACCAGTCATGTAAAATGTTTGCAAAGTAAAGCAGAGGTCAATGTTAACAGCGATAAACCTGATAAGGCAGCAAACAAACAAACCTTGGTGACGTACAATATTATGCAAACCAAGGGATTGCAGGCTTCAAACCTCATCACTGCTGATGAATCAAATTTCAGTGAGCAGAATCATGGACTTCAGGAATAACTATCAATTCCAATGAAGCAGAGCAGGGGACAGGAATGTAATTCTGTTCTAAATTGCTTTACATGATTCTGTGCTGACAGTGCAGATGTTTGGATGTTATTTATGAATGCATTACCTTTGGCTGGGAAAACTGAAATAAAACTAAATATTTAATATCTAAGCTGATGCTTGAAAATGGTAAGTTTGAAATTAAAGACCGTTGGTAATAAATACCATGGAAAAGTGGATAATGAAGAAAGTAGTTTCAATTCTACAATATGAGATTATATATTCACCATTGCAAACTATAAATTGTGAAAGTAAAGTGGCCTAGATGCCACCATAGTCTATTCCTTAGTGACAAAAGGTAAAGTATTCCATCATATCAGGCTGTTTCTGCTGCCTCAGTGGGAGGAGGGTGATTATAAATGCAATTTCTGAACCTATGTTTCAAATCTCCCAATGAAACTAAGGGCATGCTTAAAAAGCTTGATGATGACTTTTATTCCCAGAAATAATCACTACTATCAATATACAAAAACTTAGTGAAAAATTATATAACATTCTAAATTTGGAAGTTCAGGTGTGCAAGAACCATTGAGAGTCTTAGATTTTCCTACCACTTCAAAAATGATCAACTTCCTTCTTAGTAGAACTTTATCACCAACTGTAACAATGTGTCAGTATGTGTGCATATGACACACACAAGCTGTCATTAAATCTATTATGATTAATATGTACTTCATTATAACTTAGGACTGTGAGTGAACAGCTTTTGGTCTTGACAGATTTTAAGGTTACTATCCCAAATTGTTACATGTTCTCTGAAAATATTCCTGAAAACAGGAATAGCTTCTTCGGTCCAGAAAATATACCTTGGTTTCAAAGAATCAATTTTAATTATCTGGATTTGATTATAATCGACATAACAGGGATATTTTTGTAAATTATGATCTTATAAATATAATTTCAGGGGACTGTTGTAAAATGTCAGTGAACATTTGAAACTTTAACCAGAAATTGGATAACGTGCTGCAAAGATTTATTGCAGGAAAATGAATTTGTGCACACCTTACCTGTCAAGCAAATCACATTACCAGGAATCTTTTTCCAATAATCGCCTGCTGGGTTTTTGTTAGTTATTCCATAACGACGTGCTACATCTCCATTAGAACAACGTACCCACACTGTTCTATAGCTCACACCTAATTGACTTGCCTGTAAACCTACAAAAAAATGTTTTTGTTATTGTATAGAAATGATTGTAAAACATGAATCATACTTTTCTGATGACATCCTAGTATTTAATTCAAATTCTTCAACAGGTCATTTACCAGTATACATATGCTTCAATCACTACTTCAACAAAGGAGAAACCTGGCTTTGAGTAAGAAAAGCCAGGCAATTTCACACTAAGAGCAGGGAGTTGCTTAGGAAGCTGAAAGTATAATGAGGATCAGTGCAAGAATACAGGAAAAGGAAACAAGTTAGCTACATACGAGCATACAAGTAAGCTACTCAGCCTCTCGATCCTGTTCTAGAATGCAATGACGCTATGACTGATCTGATTACTCTACATTCCCACCTAGCCCTGATAACCTTTCACCCTTTACTTATGAGGAATCTGGCTACCTCGGCTATAAAATTATTCAAAGATCCTGCTTCCACTATCTTCTGACGAAGACAGTCCAAAGCCTCATGATCCTCTGTGAGGAAAAAAACTCTCCCCAACTGTCTTAAATGGATGAACATATATATATATATATTTTTAAATGATGGCCCCTAGTTCTATATTCTCTGACGAGGAATTATCCTGCCCATACCTACTCTGTCATGACCTCTCTTACATGTTTCAATCTACCAGCCTTCTATTCTTCTGATCTGCAATTGTCCAACCTCTTCTCAAAACCTGTGATGCTGCTTGGCCTGCTGTGTTCATCCAGCTCTGTACCTTGTCTTCTCAAAACCCACTCATTTTAGGCATTAGTCTTGTTTACTTTCTCTGAACTACTTTTAATGCATTTGCATTGTTCCTTAAATAAAGAGCCCAAAACAATACTTAGTATTCCATGATAAGATGTAGTTTTACAGAAACCCTGCATAACCAAGCACAACTCCCTACTCTTGTACTCAATTCTTCTCTCAATAAACAGTAACATTCTATTAGCTTTCCTTCTAACTTGCTTTATTTGCATACAACCTTCTGCGAGTCACGTGCTAGGACACTCAGATCCCTCTGCATCTCAGAGTTCTATAATTTCACACCATTTAGACAATATGTTTTTTGTCATTCTTCCTGCCAAAATGGACGATTTCATACTTTCCCATATATGGTTCATTTGTCAGATATTTGCCCACTCACTTAACCTATGTCTCTTTGTAATGTTCATGTGTCCTCCTCTCAACTTGTTGATTATGGATTCTCTTTTTAAAAGTACCAGATAAATTAAAGAAAAACTCTGCCCAGATTAAACAGAAGGAAAAGAACATCACACAGAAACATAAACCAACAATGGGAAATATTTAAACAGGTACAAATGGAAAGGGTTCAAATCAAATTCGATGGAAACAAGAAAGGGAGCAAAAACAAATTTAAAAGGCTAAGATGAAGACAAGAAAGAATAGGCACAAAAAGTTTTTTTTTTAAATTGCAGACTATCAGCAATATAATCATGGCAGAGATACATCAGCTAACAGATGAAGGAGGCAACTTTACAGTGGAGAGTGGAGGAATGGCATAAATACTAAGTGTATTTTTCAGAGAGAAAGTAGTTATTAAGACTGTAAAATCATTATAGACATTTTTTTTTATTTGGGCATGTTGCCATTGGCAAGGTCAAAAATAATTGCCCTTGAGAATGTGATGGTGAGCCACCTTTCTGAAGCACTGCAGGCCATGTGGCATAAGTACATCCACAGTCCTATTAAAAAGGGAGTTCTAGGATTTTATCCAAGTACCCAAAAGGGAATGGTGACATATTTCCAACTGAGGGTGGTGTGCGATTTGGGAGGGGAATGTGGTGATGAGCCAAAAACTACTGCTCTTAGTCTTTCTGACAGAAGAGACCATAGATTTGTTGAACAAACCAAGGTGAATTGCTGCATGGAGTCTTCTGGATGTTACCCAATGATGCCACTGTGAGCTTGGAGTGGACGGAGTGAATGTATAAGGTGGTGGTCGCGGTGCCTATGAAATGGGCTGCTTTGTCCTGGATGGTGTCAAGCTTCTTGAGTGTTGTGCGAGCTGAATTGAATACTGGGAAAACAACTGAGGTGAAACAGAGGTGGTGTTGTCAGCAATTTGACAAATTCTCTGAAAAAGTAAAATGACAGTGAACGATATTCTCCAGAGACAAGAATAAAATAGCAAACTGTAGGGAAGGTAATCTTATCTCTGCTAATAAAGATATAGCAGAGTGAAATTATTATACACATATTTAGATTAATATAAATAATGATTTCGTCTTTTACCTGGCACATGTTCCCAATCAGTGCCTACAGGCATTGCCTCTGTTATTCCAAGTCGCACATGCACGTTGCCCCGATTATCAACTGCCCAAACCATCTGGTCATTGGGGCTGGAATAAATGTTGATCAGTTGTGTTCCTAATGGCTTTAAATGGAAGAGTTTATTGAAAATATCACATTAAAATCTAAGGAAAATCAAAATCCTAAACTTTACTGTTATATCTATTTATGTATAGACACAAACAGATAAATTGTTGCATCACCACTGGAATGGTATGCTATATCTTACTGAGCTAATTCAAATCAGTGCACTTTTAAGGGCACAAAGGCAAACCACGGCTACACACCATTAGGTGTATTCACTGCCATTCAAGGGTCAGAAGCCTGCCTCCATTTTTTTTTTTGGAAATCATTAGTTTGAATCAATTAAGAGGCTGCAGCTTTTTTGTTCCTGCAATAGATTTCCTAAACTACTACTTTTCGGTTCCAAAGAAGGGTCATATTTGACTCGGAACATTAATTCCGTTTCTCTCCCTGAAGAAGTTGCCCAATCTATTGAATTTCTCCATATTCTGGTCTCGTTTTAATTTTAAAATATTTATTTGTTCAAAAAGGGAATAAACAAAGTGTGACACAATAAATGAAGTGTGTCAGGAAACGATCCCAATGTACATTTTTTAGTGTTAAGTTGCAGATGAATAAAAAAGCACATACTCTCACATTCTTAGTAGGTTTTTAGGGGAATATCAGAGAATACTCTGCTTTCTGATTTACAACACAGAATGCTTTATCAGGGACACTGAAAATGATAGCTGCACTAAAACACAATTCAACTTCTTCAGGAACTTCACTTCTCCCTGCTCTTTAAGTATGTAGCCAGGATATGCACAGAGCTCCTTTCTGGAAGGTGCACTACAGTCACAAACAGAGAGACAGGTAGTGCTTTTTTTTGGCAGAACTTGACTGCGTTGTAAATCTACTGCCAGCAGCATCATGACAGAGTTGGAGGTTTTACAATATATTTTATTGACAGCCTTTACCATAGTTTCATTAAGTCATTATATATTTTCATAACTGGAATTCTGTGAGCAAATGTGCTTGTTAAATGCATGTCATGTTTCTGACACATTTTCCCATACCTTACTATTTTTGCTCAAGCATTAGCAGACCTACACTGACACATCATCGGTCATCAGCAAATGTAGCAACCGTAAAGATATATAGGAAAGTAAGTTGTGAAGAGGACATAGGAAGCTACATGCGGATATAAATTATGTGAGTGGACAATGATCTGGCAAATAGAGTGTAACATCGGAAAATGTGAAATTTTCCATTTTGGCGGGAAGAATAAATTACAAGCATATTAATTAAATATTGAAAGACTGAACAGCTCTCAGATGCAGAGGGATGACAGTGTCATGGTGTTTGATTCACAAAAGCCTAGTATGCAGATACAGCAAGTAATTAGGAAAGCTAATAGAATATTTTGTTTATTGTAAGGGGAATTGAATACAAAAGAAGGGAGGTTATGCTTCAGCTATACAGGGCTTTGATAACATATCTACAGTATTGGTCTCCTAATTAAAGGAAGGATGCAAATGCACTGGAAGCAGTTAGGGGGAGGTTTACTAAATTAATCCTTGGAATGGGTGGGTTTGTCTTATAACGAAGGGCTAGATTTTTTATCCATTAGAGTTTAAAAAAGGAAAGCAGCAATTTGATTGAAATATAAGATCTTGAGAAATCTTGACCAAGTAGACATAGACAGGATGTTTCCCCTTGGACGGAAATCTAAAATTAGGGGTGGCCTATTTAAGACAGAGATGAACAGAACTTTTTCTCATTGAGGGTTGAGTGTGATAGGCCAAAACCTTGAAAAGTCTTATCAAAGTGATAAATAATAATTAAAATACTTTTCAAATTAATTCAAAAACCTACGCACAGTAATCAGACTTAGGGCAAATCTAAACTAAAGAAAGAATTATAGGATGACATTTATTTATTTTGCAGGATTGGATATCTCATACCAACGTTACGTGCTGTTCTAGTATCTCAAAGCAGTCGTGGTCAATGATCCAAAATTGTACTCCATTTCATAATTCAAAATAGCACCCAGTATTTAATAATAAATGAAGTTCACCCAACGCAATTCAAGAAAGATTAATAAAATATGCATAATACTAATTTCTGCTGTTTACAACAAAAAAAATTAGTTCAAGACATGTTTATGTATTGCACTATTTGGCGTATGCTATATTTATAAATATGTGGGGTAGATAAAGGGTACCTGACACACCCTTCATATGTTGTATCACTTTTCCCCACAAATATCTGACATACTGCAGTGTGAAGATAACAGTGTTTACAAAAGTTGAATCAGTGAATATACATGGCAATGCATTTTCTTATAATATTCATACTTGGTAAAATAACAATCCCATTAATGGGATTCTCTTCGTGGAGTCAGTGCAGATTTGATGGGCTGAATGGCCTCAATCTGCACGTAGAAATTCTATGATTCTAATCACCTTCTGAAACAGTAGTGTTCAGATCTGGAACACAATTATCCAACTGAGGCTAAACCAGTGCTTTATAATGGTACATCATAGTTTTATTGTTTTTATACTCTAATTTATTTAAAGAAAACTCAAATTAAGGAAAACAAGCATGTTTCACATAATAAATCCATTCTTACCCTGCTGTGACTATTAATTTCATCTTGGTTTGTAATTTCTAAACGTCCTCCAACCACAATGATAAACTGATTGACTTGTGATAACAATTTATTCATTTACTTTTTGTAAAAAACAAATATGCAGTAGTTACAATCTCCTGGCACCACCCATGTTTAAAGAAGGTTGGAAAATTACAGCCAATACTCCTGTAATTTCCATCCTAAGTCCCCCCACAACCCTAAGATGCATCAATCAGATCTTGATGATCTATTTAAGTGCAGCCAGACTTTCTAGTGACCTCTTTCAAATAAGATTTAAATCAAAGTTCTGTCTGTCCTCTTAGGTTACAGAAAAAAAATCCCACAGCACAATTACTTGAAGAGGAGCAGAGGAGTGATCCTTTGTGCTCCACCCAGCAATATTCTCAATTAACATCACAGGAACAGATCATTTGACTAATATCACATTGCTACTTGTGGGAGCTTGCTGTGCACAAACTGGGTACCACATTTACTATGTTATAATAGTGACTGTATTTTAAAAGTGCTTCGATGTCTGTGAAGCACAATGAGGGTTTGTGGTTATGAAAGGTACATTGTGCATTTTTTAAAATTTTGCTTTTTTTTCTCTTTATGATTTTATTAGCCCATCAAATATCTCAATTACCTTCTCTCTCATTATGACTTTATCTTCCTTGGTAAAGAGATGTGCAAAGTGCTAACTGTTGCCTTTACTATGTCTCTGCCTCCACATTTAAGTCTTTTTCGATCCCTCATTGGCTTGAACTACCTTTTTTCCATTTATATGCCTGTAGAAGACTTTTGAATTTTCTTTTATGCACATTGTGGGACTTTTCTCATATTCTGTCTTTGCCCCCCACATCCCACCAACAGCATTTTCATTCCTTCCCCACCATTTCCCCATTTTCACTTCCCACCTATACCTTCTACGATCAGCCTAGTTTTGTTTTGTTTTATTAATCTGACATCTGTCATATCCCTCACTCTCCCTTACTTTCTTTCATCATTCAGAGAGCTCTAGATTTACTTATGCTAACCTCCTCCCTTGAGGGTATGTCCCTCAAATATAGCAGAGCCACCTCCTCTTTAAAGGAATTCCTTAGTTCCATTAATTATTTCATACCAATCTTTGATTCAAATTTACCCAGGATAAATCTGCTGTCTAGCCACTGATCCTCTTCCAATTAAATATTTTTGCTTTGGATTGCTCTTTGCTCTTTTCCATTGTTAACCTAAACACTACGATAGTATGATCAGAGGAGGTAAAGGCTTAGTGGTAATATCGCTGGACTGTCAACCCAAAGACCCAAGTAATGTTCTGAGGACCCAGGTTTGAATCCCGCCACGGCAGATGGTGGAATTTGAATTCAAGAAAAACATCTGGAATTAACAGTCTCATGATGACCACGAAACCATTGCTGATTGTCGGGAAAAAACCCATCTGGTTCACCATCTGGGAAGGAAGCTGCTGTTCTTACCTGGTCTGGCCTACAGGTGACTCCAGGCCTACAGCAATGTATCATAGAGTCATTCAGCACAGAAACAGATCTTTCGGTCCAATCAGTGAATGCCGACCATAATCCAAAGATGAAACTAGTCCAAAATGCCTGCACTGGGCTCATATCCCTCCAAACATCTCTTACTCATGTACTTATCTCAAATGTCTTTTAAACGTTGTAATGTAGCCACATCCACTGCTTCCTCTGGAAGTTCATTCCATACACAAACCACTCTCTGTGTCAAAAAACTGCCTCTTGTGTCTTCTTTAAATCTTTCTCCTCTCACCTTAAAAACATGCCTCCTCGTCTTGAAATCCCCTGCCATTCACCTTAGCTATATCCCTGATTAATTTATAAACCTTTATAATGTTACCTGTCAACGTCTTATGCTAAGTGAAAAAAGTCCCTGCCTCTCCCTATAACACAAATATTCCATTCCCGGCAACATCCTAGTAAATCCCTTCTGAACCCTCTCCAGCTTAATAATATCCTTCCTTTCACAGGGAGACCAAAACTGTGCACAGTATTCCAGAAAAGGCCTCACTAACATCCTGTATAACCTCAACATAATGTCCTAACTCCTACATTCAAAGGTCTGAGCAATGAAAACAAGCATGCTAAATGCCTTCTTATAATCACCTTACCCACATGTGGCTGACTCTTAATTGCCCTCTGGGCATTTAGGGATGGAGAATAAATGTTGGCCTAGCCAGTGACACCCTCACCCCGTGAATGAATTAAAAATAAATCACTGTTCCCTGAATGAACACCCAGTAACCTTTTATGCACTTCATTCCCCAAAGCAGACCTAACATTGTTTCTGGAAACTAGCTGATCAAGAAACATCTCTGAAATACGTCTTAGAAAACTAACATACTTCTTGGTCTACAGAAAAACTGAGAAGTACCCTCTAAATTTTGTTCAGTTATTCATACATCCAGAGCATAGGAA